GTGGTGTACTGGGATCTAATGCACAGTAACCACCGTAGCGCAGATTCCTTAAATGCGGTTTCAAACTGAAATACGACCATTTCTCTTCCATATTGATATACGTTTTAAAAAGCTCACACGAACACTGAACGTAATATGTTTGAATACGGGCAACTCGAAAACGTTTTATATTATTACACGCTGTATAATTATCATTGGATTCGTTATGTTGTCATCACTTTTATATCTGACATCTTAACCATACGCACTGCGTTTCATTTCATGTGAACAGTCAATTGGTTTTATTTACTAACTAGCTTTTGCCCGCGACTCCGTCCGCGAGGAATTAAAAAAAAAATAAAGCAGGCAACCTATGTGTTCTTCCAGACTATTCTCTACATTCATGCCAAATTTCATTAAGATGCGTTAAGTCGATTAGGCTACAAACTCTAACAAACATCCATCCATGATGACTTTCGCATTTATAATATTATAAATAATTATATTAATAAGATTCTATTGCTATATCTTTGTTCATTATCGTCTAAGAAAACGAAATAACTACATAAGAATACTATTTAATTTTATGGTTAGTAAAATAAAAATAATCATCACGCAGTTGTAGAAGTAAAACAATACGAGTAGACTACTTAAGCGCATGCTTTATCACGTGAGCCAAAAGACAAGACAAATTATCACATTTAAGTCTTACTTTTCTTTTGAAGAAAAGATGAGCAGCGTCGGTAAAGCAAATAAGGACAATAAGAATTAAAATTTTCATTGCTACAATTTTTTTCTATGTGTTAATTTACAGTAATTTATAATGATCCATTTTAGAAGACCATTGCGAATTCAGACACAAACGCGTAAAACCTGTTAACGTTAAAGTGATATAAGTATTCGTAGAACTTTCAAATATGTTTGTTTGTCTTAAAAAAGATATCATAATTAGGTGTATAATGACCATAAAAAATTAAGACCCAAACAAAATAAAAATGTAGCAAAAATCCTCCCGCTCCCGATATTTCGGCACAGTTGCATGCGCCATGTTCACGGGCTGACTAGCTAAAACAACCTAATCGTGGTAAGAAACCCGTATCTTACGAACATCAATGTTTTTCTTGTAACATATTATTACACTGCATACATTACTGTATTTTTTTAATTTTTTAGTTTATTAACAGAAAATAATTTTGCTGACGGGTTTTATACATTTTAGATACGTTCGTTATAATTTTAATTTTTTCTAATGTATAGTCTTACTTCGAACGTATTTATTTTTCCACCAGTAATACAAAAATGGTTACATTTTTGGATCGGTTTGAGATACGAGTTTCAAACTACCGATTGACTCGACAACATGCCTTTTTTATTTTGTCTTTAAGAATACGTGGACGGTGTAATTATCACTGGCGTCACAATGGTGTTATTAGTTTATTTGATACTAGCTTTCGCCCGCGACTCCGTGTGCGTGGAATTAAAAATAATCCAAAGTAAGTAGCCTATGTATTCTTCCAGACTATCCTCTTCATCTATGTCAAATTTCATCAAAATCCGTTAAGCCGTTTAGACTACAAACTCTAACAAACATCCATCCATTCATCCATCCATCCATGTAAACTTTCGCATTTATAATATTACTATTATCAAAATCACACACACTGCATTTCATTCTATGGGAACAGTCAACTGATTTACGTTGTTCTTTTTCCAAATAGTAATAGTGTAGTTTGAGACTCCGTCGGTAATTAAAAAAAATAGTCAAAAAGCCACTCAATAAAACAAAAATGAGTATCGTGTCTTTTTATTATATTTTGTAAATAATTTTTAATCTGTTTTCTTCAAAAATCGTGTAATTTTAAATATTAATTCACCATTATCAATTTCCATTATATATATTTTTATAAGAGAACAGTGCAGCAGCGGGAACACCGAGGTGATCAACAACACCCATAGACATAGGCAATACTAGAGGAAGTGCAGATGCGTTGCCGGTCTTGACGGAGATTATTAAATGTAAATCATCACCACACGCAAAAGCGAAGACATCAAATTAGTTTGTTTACTTCGCTTCCGTGCCGACATCTCTTTTCCACCGCTCGTGCTCTCTACCGCTCCGCTCCGCTTCCGCCTGTTTCGTACATGGCTGTATTGAGCTATAATTTAGTTTACATCGCCTTCGCTCCGCTGTTGCGCCGACCCCAGGCGCAAATCGTGACCGCTGCCTTAATGTTATATTAAGGCAAAATCTTGTTTTCGTTTAAAAATTTTGAAGCTTAAGTTAAAAAAAGTACGAAGTGAGTTAAGTTTAATTTTCCGTATTTTTTAGAAAGGCGTAAAAAGAGTAAGAACTTTTGACAATCTGAAAGGAAACGAGAACATTTTAACCATTTTAATTTGAAAATAGTGAAATCATTATTTCTCGGAATTCTTAGAAGGAGAGGGAAGTTAGTTATTACAAATACAGTTCTTTAAAAAAATATGATGATGTAACGAAAATATACAATGAGTTCCTTGAACTTACTGAAACAAAAGTAGTGTTTGAAAGCGGCGCTATAGATCCCGCCGTAGGCATGATCGGCTTCTTTATCATTTCCATAAATAACATTAGATTCCTTCTATATTTCATTGGTATTTCTACCCAGTCCAAAAAATACGCTGAATCCATTAACTTTTCACTCTAGATGACAAATAAATATTAATTACATATTAAGTACATTTTAATTTAACATTTTAATACAACATATTACATTTTAATTGAAAGTAACTTATACTAAACAGTTTAGTTGACATGAGCAATATTAATTTCACTTAACTCTATCGAAAATCCCAAATATTTTAAAACAACATACGTTTCTAAAGAAGTCCGTAATTTTGTGAAAACTGTGTAAGTAAGATAAAAATATCATAACACTTACCGCGTCACTTAGTTTACTACCATAGAAGCAAAACAAGAATAATTCCGCTAAAATGCATATCAAAAATAGTATGATTGTAAAACAAGCTAATGACGTTTTATCAATCTGTAAAAAATACAACATGTTTTAATATAATACGTGAGAATTTCCTTATATTTTAGTGTCATAAAAGTCATACGAACTTCAACAAATCTATAGGCAGTAGTGCACAGAATCCATGCACCGAATAAAAACTGACAGAATACGGCTCCGCCGTATGTCGCTTCGACTTTCGAAAAAAATCTAAAAAAAAACAAACCACATAAAACGTTCTCACATAGAAAGCGTGAGTTTACACTGCGAAACTGTATAAAACATAATGATATTCCTCTTACTACAACATTTTTTGTACAATGGAATATCATGGAATTGCTCTTATTCCTTTGTCTTAGTTACATTTTTTTTATGATATGTGGTGGCAACGAGCAAGTGGAAGCAATTCCGCATTTCGTCTGATGAGTGTGGTGCCGGAGGCCTAATTTTAGTCCCTTTCCCTTACCACCCTTTTTTAAAAGAAAAGAATAGAAGGAAAAGTGGATTTGACGGCGGAGGAGACGCATAGGAAGGGAAAATGTCCTCTTTATGTGCTTCTCCGCCTCCGTCAATTAAGGGTAGGCAAAGCTTCTACAGTTGCGGATGCTTATGGGCAGCGGTCGGTTCCATTTCTGCTTGCTCGTTTGCCACCTTACTTTGTAAAAAAATATCTCAGTCAAGTTCTTATACATGTTTTTGTAATGTTTTTTGACGCTAATCTAAAACATTCTTCATAAACATTCAAGTAAGTTTATTGGCAAAACCTGACAGGACAGTATTAATTTTAACTATGGATAAATTACTTACTTATAAATTTCTACCAAATGTAATGCCATGTTTCTGAACTTAACATCATAGACTTGCATTAAAGGTATTTTAGATTCAGTTGATTTCATTTTACAGCCGTCCACAAAATTTTCCAAGTCATATCTAAAAAATAACCTCATAAAAAACCAACAATGTGTATAAAATTTACTAAAACATCGAAATAAATACTTCATCTAACCTTAAAATATTCAATTGCGTTGTACATTGATGTATAAAGAATGTTATAAATGCATCAAGCGTTGTTATATTAAATGCTATCTGAGAAATCTGGATGTAGTAATAAAATAAAGCAATGTAAAATCTGAAAAAATTGGTTAATCAAAACCACATCAGTAACAAATAAAAGTGGTGATTTAAAGTTACGATTTAATTAATTTTTTACATTATAAGGAGAAAACAAAAATCCAAGAGTGTCTACGACCCGGTTCAATAAATTCGCTACTATCTTACTAGTAATATGAATGCGAAAGTTTAGATGGGGGAATAGATATTTGTTACAGTTTAATATTTAAGAAATTTAGCATAGTTGTGAGTAAAGTCTGTAAAAACAGGCAACTTACTTTTTTTTATTTCACGTGGACGGAGTCGCAGGCTAAAGCTAGTTTAATGAAAAGAAAGCGTTACCTGCATTATATTAAAAGCTGTTTGATCCACTATGGTAAAAATAGCAAACCCATTTGTTGGCTATTACGTTAACTTAAGTATCAAAATGATGTAAAGGACTCACTTAAGTTTCGTATTCGGTTCAAAAGGAAACCAAATAGAAAATTCAATTGGCGTGCCTTGAGAATATAAAATGTGTAGATACAAAGCCATTAGAAAACTAGTAATAGCTGATGTTGAGCTGTAAATGTTTACAAGGATTTTCGCTTCTCGAGCTGTGTCTTTCAGCAGCTTATGGTGTTTTTCTTCAGGTTGGTTAAACGAATCTCCTATAAAAGGTAGGGATAAAAGGGTTTTTTAAAAATGTTTTTTAGAAATAAGGGAACAATGTTTTTTTGACAAATGTTATGAAAATTTTATTTATACTGTTAATGAAATTGGAGTATCTACGTAATAAAAAAAACAGATTCCGTGAAGGTGATACTCGTATTAAGGGTACTATAACAAAGAGAGAATTTAATTTTATTGTCTGTCTGCAAGCCTTATTTGTTCTTGTTAATCTCTTGTTAAAATTTTATCATTGATACACGATAATGTTACCATTAAAATAGACGAAACGTATACATCATTTATAATTAATTCATTTGTTTTTGTTATTCCTTTCATTGATGAAGCATTACTTATGCCAATTGACTTCATATTCATTTCTGGCCATTATTCTTTCTGGCAAACAGATTTCAATTAAAAACATTATTACATTGCAACCAATTTTGTATCTATATGAATAAAGTAGATGACTTCGATACTAGCTGATTTTATACATTTTTCATACTATTGTGATGTAAACATTTCTTTGAAATGCGTTTCGTTATTTAAAAAGTGCCCTTTGTTAATTTTTACAAGTGCAATACATAATTTCAATTCAATTTGCGTTTTTGTCATTAACATCATCAAGTTTCGGAGTCATGAATTAATATATTTAACGGCGCGCAATTATTGTTACTTAAATCGATTAATATTTCAATTGAATAGTCATTTTTAAAGTGTTGCCAATATGTATAATTAGTTAA